CGACATTATTCTTCCCACGGTTGATATTAATTCAGAGCAACAATTATTATTTCACAGAGGTCCCACAGTCGGGGGCCACAGTGACGAGATGTTAACTACCTCGCGTTGTATACAGGAGGTCGTGGGTTCGATCCCGACCATGACACCTGTTGTATATTTGCAGTTTGCGTGCTATTCCCTTCCGATGGTCGCAGGGATTTTTCTCCGGGTCCTCCGGCTATTCCCTCCACATGATAGAAACATGCCTTGGGAGTATTTGGCTGCTCTCAATGTCCACATGATGATGAGCCACTTCCTCGAGCTGTCATTTGTGGCCAGGTCACTTCTGCAAAAGAGGTCAGTAGGTCTTACCTGGTAAAATAAATAAAACATGTTTTTATTTTAGTTAATAGCATCAGGAGTAGTGGAGTGTATCACCGCTGTGAGCATGCCTCCTCTCTATTTGTGAATTGGGTAATTGTGGTCGTTGTATGTTTCTCGGGTCCGTCTTGGGCGACCACAGTCACGCACCTGACCGGAGAGTGTTTCAATATTTCCGTTTGTGTGTCATCAAGCAAACGCATCTGCCGCTGACGTGGTTCGTGCAGCGGATGCGATCTGACGGCCGTGGCCCCCCGCCAGCATCGCGGGAGATCGAAGCCAAGGAACAGGGACAACGAAACCCGCGGTGCTAAGCGTCGACTCGAGCTCCACAGGTCGCCTGCACGTAGACGCAGGCGACGACTCAACACGCAGACGATGTCAACACTGGGGCAAAAGGCAATTTGCGTAATACAATTTGAATAACGTATTAATTACTTGGCCCGTGGCAAAAAAAAAAACAAACAGCACGGCGTTTCCCTTCTCAATGTGAACTCCCCCCGTGGTTTCACACGACGAACGAGCTATTTTCCAGGAAGCGCGAACAGTGGCGTCCACTAAACTGTGAAACAAAATCGGTGTTTTTTTACTTCACCAGTTAAGGCCCGTTGAGCTACAGAGGTATTTTTTCGGAAGCGGCCTGCCTGTCACAAATGAGAGCTCAGTGAAGTGCCTTATGTGGATATTGTTTCTTCATAGCAGCCAAATACCCTAAACGCATGTTGATTCTTAATGTGGGAGGAAAAACCGGAGGGAAATTCACGCGACCTCGGGCAGAACATGCAAAGTCCAAACACACATGCGTCAGGTCGGGATCGAACCCACGACCTCCTGTATACCAGGCGAGGTAGTTAACATCGGCGTGCTCTACTAACGTCAGCTCACGTCCGTGAGTGTTCGCGGACGTGAGCCACATGACAGCCGCACGCTGGCATTGCGTGACTACACTGGGAAGTGCTCCAATGCGCGGTGTTAACCGAGCAGTTGTTCCACAATGTTATTCAGGGAAAAGGTATGAGCAAGGCATCGGCAAAATCCGCTCCGGAGCCGCGTGCGGCAAGTTTAAGGGCTGCTTCGTGACGTTACTCACATGCGTTGTGGCTCTTGAAATATTTTTTTTTTACCGAAAAATATTTCGAACAAAAAAATGTCTCTTCTTCTTATTTTGGTCGCCGAACTCCTGGCACAGTAACAACCCGATTGAGGTCTCCCGCCCCTTTGGCGTCGTTTCATAAATACACCGCCCCTTCATTATTAACACCGTCACCCGATTTGAGTCATCTCAACCCACACTCGCGTCGCTGACAGCATCGTCCGTCCATGCTCGTTATCCGTCACCTCTCGGCCGTCGCCTCCACCACCTACCCTGTGAATCGCTTTGATTGACGTCGTTTCGAGATCCGTCGTCGCGTGCCTGTCAACCCCTTATCAGTGCCCTACCTTGTTACAGACCAATTCAGACCTTATTGATCACCCTGTGCTCTTAGAAATCGCAACGTTCATCCTACAAAGTCAATTCACAGGGGAGAAACACAAACAAATAGACAAAAAAATTGCCCATATTGAAACGGCTGTATGCCGTATGGACCTGCAAACGGAATTTCCCTGTACAAGAATATGGGCAAAGCGTATGGGTTGGCAGGTATAACGTCGCATCTTTCAGAAACGCACAGCCCCTGCAAGGACGTCATCACGCCACTGCTTGGCGGAAGGAAGGAAAAGGGGCTTCAACTAGACCAGGGGTTGGCAACCCAAAACAAAAAGAAGAGCCATTTTCTCTTCGAATCCGGTAAAAACTAAATTGGAGAGCCGTGGTGTATGTGAATACGAGACGGCACTTAATGACTAACATCAAAGCACAATTTTTGTAAGCACCATTTTAAGAACGGCACATGCACACAGTGATTTGTAATGGCTGCATCACAATGATTTGTAATTGCCAGCATTGCAGTGATTTGTTACGCGGCATTACAAAGCATTGTCGGTCTTTTAGACGTTCACCATTTATTGAAAATAATTCGGACGTTCTTTTTTTTACTTTGCAATTACCGTGTCGGGAGCTGCGAAGCAGTCCTCGAAGAGCTCGCACGCGGCTCCAGATCCGCAGGATTGCCGACAACGGAACTAGAGGGATCTCATGAAGGGGCCCTCGAGGGAGAGGGCATTTGGCCGTTCTCTACCATGCCGGCCACAGGCATCTCGGACGAGGCGGGGGAGTTTCCAGGCTTTAGGCCACCAAACGCAGGCCTACCGTTCGATCGGTAGCCGCTGCACTGTGGCGCACCCATTTATATCGCTGGGCGGACAGAGAGCAACCGGGGGAGGCATTGAAGAAACTTGCCCCACTGTTGCAACTGTGACCTCTGGCTTGCAGGCCCGGTGTGCTAGCCACCGCGACATGGGTCATTCGGGTGCAAAGCGAGTTGATCACGAGCAGTAAAATTCCATGGACGCTCCGAGAAGACGTTTGTTTGCATGTGAGTGAGAAAGAAAGCTTATTTAAACTATAAAGTATTTTTTACTTTACCAGATACGGCCCACTGAGCTATGTAGCTCTATTTCATAAGCGACCTGGCCACAAACGATAGCTCAACGAAGTGGCTTATCACGTGGAGACATATGTAGCAGCCAAATACGCTGAACGCACATTGAGTCTAACTGTGTAGCTAAAAACCAGAGGACCCAGAGAAAAATCCACACGATCACGAGGGGAACATGCAAACTCCAAATATACAGCAGGCGTCAGGGTAGTGAACGAACCCACGACCTCCTGCGGACCGGGCGAGGCAGTTAACATTGCCCCACCGTGACGCTCGGGACTTCCGCTCAGTAACCGCATCGTTCATGGTAACGGCAATTACGCACGAACCTTCGAGCACTTGAATTCTCTCAAATTACTCAATATGCGCCAGCAAATTGCTGGCAAATATAATCACCCCCAACCGACAAGAAAAATCGTTTTCATCAGTGGGCGAGAAATGAGTTGCGTTTCACAACGGGTATGAGTGTGGCGGTTTGTAATTGCAAGCGATTTGGGTTTTTGAAATCCTGGGCAAAAGTGTTATTATTATCATTGTGTTGTGTATCGGGGAAATCAAATCTGCCAGACTAATACCGGGCTGTTTATTGCGAATGCAGCAGTTGGTGTTGACCTAAGAGTTACCAAGGGACTCTTTCTCGTACATAATGAAACAAAAAAAATACAGAGACTCTTAATCGCCTTCGGTATTGAAATTCAACGTTGGGGAGTGACCCCTGGATTTAACGCTGCACTGTGGAAGCTATTTCCCACCCACCTCCTCTCATCGCTGTTGACATTGAACGTGAAGATAGCAGTTGGTCCAAACAGCTGGCCTCTTTAGCATCATCATCACCCCCTTAAATTTTGATTTAAAGCTTTCGTGACTGCTGGGATTCATATTCTTGGTTCTTTCGGTAAAGTCACGTAGAAGGGAAACAATAAAATAATAAAAATATAAAACCATAATTTTTTTATCCTTTTAGAATTTTTTGTTATATTTTTTTATTATTTTATTGTTTCCCTTCTAAGTGACTTTACCGAAAGAACCAAGAATATACATCACCCCTTTGTTGTGTCGGGGGTTTGTTACAAGTCTTGAGTTTTGGTTTGGGGGTTGACACAACCTATCATACTTCTTGGGACCATAAAATGGGTACTACTTTGTGAGTAAACTTAACGGCGCTTGTGAAATGTATTCTCCAGTACCTGCCATAGGAATGTGGAGTTTACACAACTGGTACAGGGCTGTGATCAAGAATTGATCACTACCTCCATACCTTGTTTGAGCAGGACATCATTTAGATTTTTGTTCTTCCCATTCACAGATTTTAAATAATTGCTGATCACCCCGGCCTCTGTAGAACACGTCCAATTAGCACCTGCGCACGGGGCGAAATAAGCTCTACATACATGCATACAACACAGCATCGTCACTACGACAACAATGACAACTAACACTGAAAGAAATAACTTGCCTTGTACGGTATTGCACGTCACCGTTTTTTACCCACCTTGTTTCCATTTACGACCAAAAAAAGCCACGACAACTGTGACTTGGAATACGAATACGCTGACGCGATGATGATGATGACGACGATGACGACGAGTGATGACGCAATGAGAGAGGCAAACACGCACATCGATGAGGATGAATGGCAGCAGCAGCACTGCATATTTGACTCGGCCGTAATGAAGTCAAGCGAGGTGATGGAAAGTCACAACATTTACAATCTGAGTAAAATGTTGTGGCTTTGCTCTCCCACACACACCGGTGTGTGCTGTACTAGTTACGAATTGGCCACGTTCTGTTTACGTGACAAACCTTACTAGTTGGCTGTGTCGGGTGGTGGCGGGTTTAACCACACATTTATATATCACCAGGGAAACGTCGTATTTGAATTGTAAATGCCGTGGGTTTTGCTCTCCAACACACCGGTGTGTGCTGAAGCATCGACCAATTGGCGGAGTTTTGTTCACACGACAAACCTGACCAATTGGCTGCGTCGGGCATTGGCGGCGGGTTTTAATGACACACATTTTATATTCACACGATCCAACCCACAAAAACACACACTTCGTCATGGCATCGAGATAGAGAGAGAGGGGGGGGGTACCTCACCTGTTGTTGAGGCAGCAGTAGATGATGGGGTTGTACATGGAGCAGCTCATTGCGAGCCAGAACACGGCCAGGTACACCTGCTGAATGTACTTCCACTGGAAGAGTTCACTGTCGATCTCGTAGACCAGAAAGTAGACGTGGTAAGGCAGCCAGCAGATGGCGAACGTGCATACGACCACGATCATCATCTTAACCACCTGCCAAAAAATCAGGGCGGTTGCCGCAAGCGCAGCACACGCAGCCATGAATTGTTACGTAAACATATACACACCTATAATTGGGAGTGATTTTTTTTCTGCTCAAATGATAGCAATGATGGAAGTTCTGTAGTCACATAGCGAGGGGCAGTCCACGCATAGGGCATCTGCTGTTGATTTCCCCCACAAATTGGTACTTAATTTTATAGATGCCAGATGCGTGTTTACACCCCCAAACACTCTATCGCTGTACCAACCTTGACAGTTCAATATCAATTTGGATAATTATAAGTTGAAAGCAAATATAGGCAGAACACCATTCTCTATCTCCACATATAAGTACAATTATATTTCAGTCCATCGATCAGCCTATAACATTGGTCTTGAAAGCCAAGAGGCTGATGGACTAAACAATATTTTGTATGTTTATACGTGGAAGACAATAAGGACGTTCTACTTACATCACATTACCTGCATTATCGTGGCATTTCGCATGCACAATGTCCCAAACAGCATCAGCCAAATACAGAATGCATCATGTTCATTGTAAGTTTCGTCGTCATCATCATCATCATCAGCTTTGATCTAACCACCACTGGATGAAGATCTCTCAAGGACATTGTCATCTCTCGCGACCTTTACGATATAATCCATTTTTTTCTCCTACGCACGAGCTTCATCCATTGCTCCACATTCAGAGTTAATATCATGTCGAGAATGTCCCCCCCCCCCGTTTTACTTCCGCTCCATTGTAAGTCTCGACTCACTGGCCAACATCCCTTCTAGCAACGTGTTCTGCCCAGACCCAATTAATCTTTCCTAACTTTCAAATCGATGTCTGCGATGTCTCAAACTTGCGTTTGTTCTGACCCTAATTGACATCAACAGACAGCAAGAGGGCCATTTGTTCTCCGTACACTATTCATGTTCTTCGATTTTTAGTTTTTTTGTCAAGTGTCCGCATTTTTTATCCATGTCATAGCAGTGAATATGCACCGATTGAAAACTTTATTTTTAAATCACATCTTGAGATATATATATAGCTTGGGTCATCTGTGAAAAGGAAGGTTAAACGGCCGTGTAATTCTTTGGGTAAGGCATGCGCAGCAATTGCTTCACTTGTTGTTCTTATCGTGTAATGCATTTTCTAAAAAGTCATTTCCACATCATACAGCATGATAGGAGGTAGGAGATACGTAATTTAGATTTACACACTCCATGAATATATGATTTTCTAATATTGCTCTGTTGCGTTTTGCCTACATGTTTTCACGTCTGCATTATTGAATCAAACACCAGGCTGTAAACAAGCGGGTAAGAGTTCATCGAGGTCTGCACTTTGAACCTGGCGACCCGAGTTCGCTTCCCGACCCGAACGTGCATCGGAGAGAGCTGTGCGGCGCCACCGTGAAATCCTGGCGATACTCCCACTCTCTCGCTCTTCTATTCAACCGGGCTCCACGGTGACAGCTCAACGGTGGCTGCTGTCGTAGAGAACAGCTGGAGGAGAGGTCGGGTACTCATGGGGGCGTTTGCATCACGGAGGCCGCGGATTAATGTGCGGAGCAATGTGCGTAAACGAGACGGGGGGGGGGGGGGAGATGGGTCTGATGTTGACTTTGCTCGAGCCATTGCTGTGCGTACGTTTGTATGTTGAACTGTTCTGCTTCAGTGGTGTTCTGCTTCAGTGGCAGAACAAAAACACGGACTCTTTGCCGTCTGGAACGCTCTTCCTGCTGATATTAGGAAGCTACCAGAGGTATGCACTTTAACATCTAAATTGAACACTCATTTATTTATGTGTGGTGTGCAAAAAGTTCAACGTACATACATAATGTGAAGACTGTATATATGGAGTTTGCATGTTCTCCCCGCGATTGCGTGGATTTTTCTCAGGGTCCTCCGGTTTTTCGCTCAACATTTAGAGTCAACACACGTTTCGAGTATTTGGCTGCTGTAAATTTCCACATGATGACAAGTCACTTGATTGAGCTATCACTTGATTGAGCCGGGTCGCTTCGGAAAAGAGCTATATAGCTCTGTGGGCCTTACCTGGTCAAATACAACACGTTCCTGCGGAGGGGGCTGGTAGGAAATTTTGAAGTAATTATGAAGTAATTATGTACGGATATTTTTAAACCAAACTTGTTAGGGTCGTGTGCATAAGAAAGCAAAATGAAAAGTGAGCAGAATTATAAAACGACGCCAGAAAGTGCAGTGTAAAAGAGGTCGCACCAGAATGTGCGGTGTATCATCCCCTGCCTCCTGTGAATTAATCCCGGTTGGGCTTCCATTCCATATAAGGGCACCACGGGGTGACCAGCCCCTCCCCACCCAGCCCCACCCCTCCCACCCCCCACCCAGCCCCACCCAGCCCCTCCCCACCCTCCCCTCCCCTCCCCACCCAGCCCCTCCCCACCCAGCCCCTCCCCACTCTCTCCTCCCCTCTCCACCCAGCCCCACCCCTCCGACGTGGACAGACATACACAATTAATCCCCTGCCTCCTGTGAATTAATCCCAGTTGGGCTTCCAGTCCACTACGTTTCCTACCAGTAAAAGAGTTTAAACTAGTTAGTTAGTTTACACGCAGAGGTGCGCGGTGGTGGGGGGTGGAGGAGAACCGTAAAGCGGGATAGCCAGTGAGAATTAGCGGCGCAAGCAACGAATTGCCCAAGCTCTGGGGTCCTATATCGGGATGGTTGTTCCACTCGTCCGCGCCCCCCCCCCCCACCTCGCCCCAACTCCATCACCTTGCGCTTGGCCCGCAGCTGCTCGTGGTACTTGTCCCCCGTGTCTCCGGGGATCTCGCTGCCCCACAGGGTGACGCCCACGATCGTGTACGCCACCGCCATGGCCACGAGCGGCAGCAGGTACACCAACACGACCACCACGATCTGATTCCTGGGGGGTGGGAGGGGCGCAGCGCCAACATCGCCACCGACAAATGCACAGCAGCAGCAACAATAATGAGGCATGTATTCCTCACGATGGTATTTAACGCGAAACAATCACTGGTGTCTTTGATTTAAAGCTTTCGTTACTGCAGGGATTCATATGTTTGGTTCTTTCGGTAAAGTCACGTAGAAGGGAAACAATGAAATAATAAAAATGTAAAACAATAAAATTCTCACGACGTTTCGACTGCAACACAAGCAATCATCATCAGGTGTGAAAACCACACATAAGATTCACACGTTCAACATACACACATCAAATACACACGTTCAACATACACACATAAAATACACACGTTCAACATACACACATAAAATACACACGTTCAACATACACACATAAAATACACACGTTCAACATACACACATCAAATATACACGTTCAACATACACACATAAAATACACACGTTCAACATACACACATTAAATACACACGTTCAGCATACACACATAAAATACACACGTTCAACATACACACATAAAATACACACGTTCAACATACACATAAAATACACACGTTCAACATACACACATAAAATACACACGTTCAGCATACACATAAAATACACACGTTCAACATACACACAAAATACACACGTTCAACATACACATAAAATACACACGTTCAACATATACACATAAAATACACACGTTCAACATACACATAAAATACACACGTTCAACATATACACATAAAATACACACGTTCAACATACACACATAAAATACACACGTTCAGCATACACATAAAATACACACGTTCAACATACACATAAAATACACACGTTCAACATACACACAAAATACACACGTTCAACATACACATAAAATACACACGTTCAACATACACACATCAAATACCAAGTCACAGCTGGCTGAAAACGACGCCCAGCCCCGACATATTTGTACTACATTATGGTCAACAGCGATGGTAAGCGCCCACTTGGACCCCCGATCCTACTCATCGATATATATTGAATAATATTAATGTTTAATAATATGCTTTGAACTTGTAATGCGCCGCGCGGTATTCGCTCACTCTCGTAGTGAGAGAATGACTCGGAGGCGCTATGAACCGCAGATAAGTGAGGAAAGCAGTCTCCCCCGTGAGCCGGCGCAAACAATTGCCCAACCTCCGTGGTCCTCTACGTATGAAGGTGTTATTGGTTTATTCATGTGTGTTCACATGTAGGAAGAAAGCGGGGTGCACGGAGAAACCCAACGCATGCGAGGGGGAAACGCGCTATCCCATACAAATAAAACAGGGGGAGTCCACATTTTTTCTGCACTGCTTTCTCCTGGCAAGCCAGGGTATGACACCTCCTCGAGGCCCACGGGAAGGGAGGTTCACAACATCTATGCGAGCCACCAACCCTCACCGCTCCACAGTGCTGGATTACAGGCCATCACCGCCTGGCTATTGTGCTTCAAGTTTGTGCCCCAGCTGCCAAATTCATGCTGCCGCTCAAAACAGCCTGTTGGAGGCCGGGCTGGTCACTCGATATAAGCAGAGAATCTGGGCACACGTAGAAGTATTGTCGCCGTGAGATGTGATAAATTCAAATGTTAAGAATCTATAGCAAGTTATGGTGGCCAGAGAATATTATAATAGCAGGTTGAGTTAACAGCCTTGTTTTAAGGTCATTTTCTCTATTTATTATTAACGAGATGCAATATCCTTTGTAAGGGAGACCTCCGTGATTATAATAGGTGCGACTATGATGTGTGCTTCTCTTTTGAGTTATGACATTCATACAAATGTGCCACCTCTAGGGAAAGGAAATAACAGGGCTTTCAAAATACTATTCCCAGCAAATGCCCTATTTACAAAGCATCTATAGTGCTTGTGTGCCATGGTGGCAATGTGTTAACTACCTCGCCTGGCATACAGGGGGTTGTGGGTTACATCCTGACCCTGACGCCAGTATATGTGGGGTTTTTGTTTGTTTTCCCCATGATTGTGTGGATTTTTTTTCCGTGTCTTCCGGTTCTTCCCTCCACATTTAGAAACATGCGTCTGGAGTATTTGGCTGTTGTACATTTCCTCGTGATAAGCCACTTCGTTGAGCTATAATTCGTGGCCAGGTCTCTTCTGAAAAAGAGTTATAGCTCAGTGGGCGTTACCTGGTTAACAAAAAAATAATTAAATCGGGAAAAAAATATTTTTAAAAATAGGTACAACAGGCACCGGTCACCAACCAATACATCAACTTAACATAATTGTTTTGGAATGCCATTTACACGGTCTCATGATCTCCTGCATGCTAACGTGGTGTCATGATCGGTACACTGGATTTTTGAATCCAGAGGTCACTGGCTCAATATCCCGGCTGCCTCTGTCCACTCAGCAGCACAAATGTGTTCCCCACGCTTAGTCAATCGGCAGGTCTCACGTGATGTTGGGGTAAAGTGTCGGCGCTCCCACTTCTTCGTCGGCATCTAGTTACCGTTGAAGAGTAGGCCAAATATAATCTCTGTTGGAGTCCCTTCTATTTTCAGTGGTGTGGGCAAGAGGTGTAAGGGCTGCAATTGGCTCTCGTAAATCTTGGACTGAAAAGTTTGATCTCACAATGCAAAGAGCTAAGTAGGTAACGACTTCTCTATCCTCATACCATAAAACAAAATTCAATCCACACGCGAGACTTTGAACGTGCATCCTTCCAATTCAATTGGTGCAATAATTTAATTTTGGGGTGGCACAAAGGTGAACGCAATTCGCCATCAACTTCGTGCCACACGTTTGATTGCTGACCACGAGTTAACACCAGCGACGAGTGATATCTGAAACCAGTCCACAATCAGTCCCCCTTCACCATCCCCGGGCGAACCAGGTTGGAGAAGTATGGTCAAACCCCCGCCCCCGCAATATGAATGACAAGGCATGGGGGATATCTTCATCCAACAAAGATGGACAAAGGGATGCAATTCTTTTTGTTTATGATCAATATCATGTATATCTGCCATTTAGAGGCATTAAATATCATCAAGGCTGTGTTATTTCCTGTGGGGTGTAGTGAAACGATCACGGGAAATTGCTGTCTAGAATTGTGCAGCAATTTCATACATGTTTGGCAAGTGGTTATTGCATCTTCCTGAGCTACCCCACAATTTCGAGGTCAATTTGTGCTCTTAAAATGTCCTTTAATTTAAACTCGAAGGAAATTAACGCCGTAAAGGGGGGGGGGGGGGGTGGGGGGGAAGCGAGAATTTAACTGGTGGCATCAACACACAGCAGTGTGCGGCCCGCCTTGCCAAATCAGCGATGCTGCCATCGCTAGACCTAGCGACCTTTTGGGTTTCCCAAGAAACAACATTTTGTGAAAGTGGACAAATCCGGCCACTGTCTGGGATGAGGACAAGGAGCGATTTCAGGTCTGCATTAAGGGTCCTTTATAAGTTCGCTCTTTGTGACACTTGGTAAAGTGTCTAGTTACACGATGTCAGGTTTGTATTTAGGATCCTGCATCAATCAGTTCATGCTGTGTAGCACCGCGTAAAATGTCTAGCGGAATGTTTGAAGGTCTATCTAGAGCGTTTGGTGGCTCTCCGCTCTAAGGAGTTGGAAACTATGTCGTGTGTGCCTTGTGGTTCCTAGTCATTTGTTTTTCGATTTAAAGCTTTCGTGACTGCAGGGATTCATCTTCTTGGTTCTTACGGTAAAGTCACGTAGAATGGAAATTAAATAATAAAAATAAAACAATAAAATAAAATTCTCACGACGTTTCGGCTACTTGTGCTGTGGCCGAAACGTCGTGAGAATTTTATTTTATTATGTTTTATTTTTATTATTTTATTTCCATTCGACGTGACTTTACCGAAAGAACCAAGAAGATGAGTTCCTAGTCACGTGAGCATTGCGGCTCTTAGGCTCAGGAAGTTTGTTAAGGGAAAGTTGGTAAAGGGTGCAGCCCTGCGATTTCTTGCTCACGTCACTGTTGGCGGAAGAGCCTCTACTTTGCGGGAGCTCTAGAGAGCCCCTCACGGGCATTTGGCCTCCTCTTGCAGGCTGGCCAGACGTCTTGGCTCGAGGTAGTAGCAACCATACCTTACCCCACCTGCCGATTAACTAACTCTGCTGCGCCCACGTGTACTGCTGGGTGGACAGAGGCGGCAGCGGTGGGTGGCTTGAAGAAACTTGCGACGTGGTTTTCACTGCCACGCCGGGAGATCGAATCGAACCTCCGCATCGCGAGTCCACGGGAGCGCCGCTAACAATTGCACCACGGCAGCATCCGTGCGCACGCGTGTACGCGTGCACACGTACGCGCGTACGTGCGTATGCGTGCGGTGCGTCAGTAAGCAGGAGGAGAGAAAAAGGAACGGACACAAGTTTGAGGTTCACGTGATCGTCTTTGGGGAAGGAGATGTAGCAGATAAAGCGGCCATGGCTGTCAGCCACCTCCGAGAAGTAAAAGAAGGGAAATGCGAGCACCACGGCCAGCAGCCAGATGACGCCGATCAGGACTTTGGTGGCGAAGGCCGAGAGCCGCGGCCGCAGCGGGTGGATTATCGCCATGTACCTGGGGAGAGAGAGGGAAAAGCGTACAGTCTCTCCTCTTATAACGCGAGGTGTTTTCAGAACGCCAAATGGACCCAGCGCGATTAATGCATTAGGGAACACATTTCTTAAAACGCGCATGCGAATTGGATACAACGCGATTGAGTGAACAGAACTGCGTCGTGTGAGTAGGAGTAAGCGGTCGTATGGCTGCCTCGGCGTAGCATCACACAAGGCGGGATACTGCTGGATGCTTCCAGATGCTACCCGCGCACTTTAGTCATTGTCCGGCCGGCGTACGCATCTCACGTGTTATCGCGGACTGTGCTTTACCCTATATTATTTATCACAACGCGATTTTTCCACAACGCGCCGTTCTTCAGGGACGCAACTACCGCGTTATAGGAGAAGAGACTGTACAAGGTAAAGGTGCAACCTTGCAATTGCTGGCTCGTGCTACTGCTAGCAGAAGGCCCTCAACGAGAGTGCATTCTGTCCATCCAGCAGTTTGTCACGTGTGTACATTGCTGCTGTAGAGGAATGGGGAAGCATCATCGTCAGAAAAAAATTTGAACGTCAATGTACGGATGCTGCCACAGAGGGTGCGACGGTTAGCAGCGCACTGAACTTGCTTCCCAGAGGTCGCCGGTTAGATTCCATATCCCGTAGAGGCAGTTGAAAGGATGGGGCAAGTTTCTCAAATCCCCACCGCCTCTGATCAACCCAGCAGTGCGAGTGGGTTCCACCACGGTTAGTCAGTCGGCAAGTTGCGTGTGGTTGGGGTAAAGTGTGTGCACTCCCACCTCTCCCTTGACGTCTGGATTGCTTGGAAGAGAAGGCTAAACACCCTCTAGGGGTTTCTCTGGAGTGGAAGCCCTTCTGCTAAGGCTGCACCCTTACCACAGAGGTAATGTTCTTATACTTAGCCCATCCAGCTACTGATACTCCCTGCCCCAAGCTACGACCAGGCTTACCACAACCCCTGTCACTACCCCAACCCCTCCTTAAACACTCCCACCTAATCTCCTGTCACCACAACTACACCACCACTTTTGATCACAACCAACACTCTTTATCTCAACCACTGTCATCTTGTGTACAATTGTATAATTGCTGCAAAGCACCTTGGAATGAGGCGGCAAATATATATATACACACACACATCTATATAGGTTCATAGGTTATCTATATATAAAAGGGAAATTTGTGAATATGTATGTCTGTTCAAATATGTTTAGCGTACTTCCCGACATGCAAAAAACTTTAAATTTGCCATGTGGGTACTTTCCAGACTGTACACCATGCAAACATTATAAAAATAGACTTTTGTATATTTGGGGGGGGGGGGAGGGGGCGCAATGCATTTATTTTGCACGGCAAGTGAGCTGTGACGTCACATCTCTGTCATGTCACCCGCGCATGCGGAAAGCGTCACGCATCTCCCCCATACAAATGTGTAGCAGGTCTAAGGCGTTCTTCCCGCAGCATTGCTTTATTATTTCAGTCGTTTGCAGCCGTACGCACCCTGAAAGTTGTGTGTGTCTGCAGCAAGCGCGTGTATGTGTACCCATGGACGCGCGTGTGTGTGTGTGTGGGGAGCGGTAGTGTAGTGGTTAGCGTGCTGCTCTATGAACCGGTGACGATTATTTGAACCGGTCCTGGGCCTCCCCTAGGTCGACTCAGCCTCAAACGAGTAACTGGTGTGGTGTGTGAACATCGCCACTGGGGGGATAAAGGTGGCCGGGCGTGGTGAATCCAAGTCCCGGGCAAAGCCGAGCAGTAAAGCTAGTATGATATAAAATACACGAACTGAAATTTTAATTAGAGTGGTGGCAACATCATCAACCTGGAGGTGCTTTAATTCAAATTAATTCCCTGCGGTAGCCGCTACTGACGCACGGCGTTCCCCGCATTGCCTTAACGCTGTCCTTCCAAACTGGAACCCCGCAGCCCCCTCGCCCCAGCTACGGTGCTCCAAGTTTCCCCACGTGCAATGAAACGACGGCGATAGTAAAACGTGGCACGCTAGGAATGGACCACTCTTTTAAATATTTCCTCGTTGAGCAATGGAGTAAAGTGTGCTGTGCAGTACATCAACGCACGTGTGTACACCAGCATGCGATACTGAGTCGGGCCTGTAGGTGGCTGGCAGGGTTATTGAGTAACCTGCCCTGTATACCAGTCACGTGGCTAATGGCGACTCGGTTGAAAATTGCTGTGTGTGACACCACGTGCTGTTGCATTTTACAGATCGCCACAATAAATGTGTTTGCCCTCGATTTGGAGCATCTGCCCACGTCCTTCATTTCGAGTGTGCAACAAAAACAACAACAACAACAACAAAAATCTCGGGAAATCGCGGGGGTGCCAATCGATACGGTCCACGGCACGTGCGTCATTCGTCAACACGACTTCGGGCCCCAGACGCGGCGAGCGGAAAGCGCCGCTCGAGGAACATAATTCCACGGCAGTCTGTGACCGCAACGGATTTTCATCAATCAGGAGGGGGGAGCGTTCAAACCTGGGGCCAAAACAAATCAGCGGGAGCTGTTGGCGCTCTCCGCAATGCTCGGTCAACCCCCCTGCGAAGCAATTAATGGTCCCATGGTAAATTTTAGTTAATTAACCTTGCATGCAAAAGATTTGTGCGACTCAGCTTTGTTTGTGCACCCGTTAAATTAAGCCAGTCTCGGGGTGGAGCGGTGGTGCAGTGGTTAGCTCGATGCGCTATGAACCTGCTGACCGGCTACCATCAGTGGCGAGTGATATCTAAGCTGTACCTGAGTCTCTCCCCTTCAACCATCACTGACCAGCACGGTGAAGTATAGTCAAACAACCACCATGGTTGGCGTGGGATGGCCTTCCTCAAGTAACGGATTGATTAATGGCCATAAATTATTTAGTAAAAGGAGGAAATGTTATTGTCGTCTCTGTAGGATGGAATGCACGTGCATCATAATGCCACATATGTAGCATATTCACAAACACATAAGAAAGAGTGGCCATTCGTGGTGACAGTTAACGTGCTGAACACACGGACGACAGAAAATGCCCAGTGGGGCTTGGGCAGGTCCACGTCATGGTTAGAGGGGGCCGATGGTCAAGAAAGTGACGGAGTGGCAGGCCAAGGAACAGAACGTGTCCGAGAGAGCACGTCCTCTGGGGGGAGATGGAGTGATGAAATCAGCCCGTGTGCAGGTGCTAGGTGTATTGCTATATTTGTAGCGCTTGGAGTGGCCTTCCTCCAGCAGTGGATTGACCACGGCTGATGATGATCATAATAATAATGATGGAGCATCTAGCATTCGTGGCAAGTGTGTTGCTTGCATTCCATCCAACGGCGCTGTTATTCTTTGGCCGAATCGAATGAAAATATCCGGTGAAAATTGCGAGTTTGGATGTCTGCGTGTGTGTTTATGGTTTGTGGTTGCTGACGCTATTACCTCCCAGTTCCGTGCGCCTGCAATTGATCTCTCTCCTGAGTTGGGATTGTCTCGTGCTCCTAAATCTGGAAGTACATCAATTGACATTTTGGGTTTGTAAATGGCACGATCCCGCAAAGCCGTCGCGCACTCTGATTTCGGAGCTGGATGCTGAGCGCCGCAGCACACAATTTCCTGAGAGTTCCCCCATCGTCTGTAATGGCACTGAACTACGCGTGCCACACATGCGTAATGGCACCAAACGATTAAAAGGGTGGGAAAGTGCATGGTGTGCTTGCCACAAAGCGAACCACAATACTTCGCTGCTGATCTCGTCGAGGAGCATAAACCACCATCAAGCAAACTCCTGGTCATTCTCACAGCAACTTTTGGTGGGCCGTTGAACAAAGACAGTCAACCGCGTCGCAGCGCTTTCAGACGCACTTCTGCGGCTATCTGGAACGCTCTTCCTTCCAACATTAGGAAGCCACTGGAGCGATGCATTTTAAAATCTAATTTGAAAACTAATTTCTGCTTTTTTTGTTGAGTTTGTTGTCCTTCCCGATTGCAACAGTTGGCTACCTGCGGTGCGAATGAAGTTCAACATACACACGTACCTACAGCACTGGATGCTATACACTGCCGCACACAATGTCCCGAAGAGTTTCCCCCCATCGTCTGCAATGGCACTAACTATGTGCGTCACATACATAATGGCATAAAATGATTCAAGGGTGGGGAAACTGCACGATGGCATTTCGGAGTGGTAAGTGTCACTCAGGGTTAGGATGTCACGAAGCGTGCGTGTTAAAAAAGAAATATATCTAATCGCCCCACCAAATTAGATTTTTCTCTTTATATCCATCACAATTCATGCGGGTGTGCGGAAACGCATTCGTCTCATGACACCCACCGATCGCTGCAATGCCAGAGCCGCCACATCATCTCGCTGGGAGATAAATCTAAAGCGACAACGTAGCAGGCACTGCGTGACATCCTTCACCGTTGCCTCTCTTACGCGTGCGCGTTACGTCGCCTCCGAAGGATCCTTCACCCGCTTTGTTTACCGTCACATTCTGCTGGGTAATGGGCAGCACGCTTGGACTTCCCAGAGGTCTCCGGTTCGCCTCAACCTCCTGGTGCGGCAGTTTGAAGCAATGGCTGCGAGTTTATTGAAGGCTTCCCTGTTGAACTTTTTTCGCACCTGCATGTATGCTGAATTATCTTTTGCGCCGTACGTCGCCGACCGTGCTAATGGGAGGTGCGGGTGAGGACAGCAACAAACTTAACACACACAAAAAATCAGTTCTAAAGAAATTAGTTTTTAGTTTAAAAGTGCATAACACATTCAGCATTAGTGTGTACGCCACAATTAGCGGATTGGCAAGCAGTATGTGGTGCAACGTGTGTGGGTACTTTCGACGTTTTCCCTGGCCAGTGTGGAAGATTAGGCCAAATGCTGCCGAGGGGGGGGGGGCACCCACTAAAGCTCCCGCGAGTGGAGGCCCTTCCGGCAGCAGTGGGGTGAGCAAGCAATTGCAGGGCAGAACCTTTACTTTTTTTTTACACAAATAATACAATTCAGTTGTCAGTCACTGGG